TGCTTACCTTCAGTCAATGTTCTCTTTCTGTTAATTGGCCCCACAGCCTCCGCCCTCACACGAGACATTCATTCTTGAGCCAGCTTTAGAGAACAGACTTCCATGGTCTTCCACAATTTCCAAAAATCATGTGCTTTCGAGAACAATAGTTGTCAGGTGTTGGTAAATGCTGGGGTGTCACCTAAAATATCAAGTGTGTCATAGGTTTGCCATTACTGATATATAAGAAAGGATCTTGAAAGCATGGCAGGGCTAAAGGGAGTAGATTAAAACTTTCAGTTTCTTTTTGATGCCTTCTTCCCTTCCCTGGCTGAATTCATGGTTTGCTAAAGATCTGTGCATAGTTTCTCCAAAGTAATCTTTCTCAAAGTAATCTTCTCCAAAGTGGCTCTTTAATCCTTCTCCTTTTATCCTTCTAGGGATGAGACTCCTGTTTTTTCTTTTCTTATGAGGAATTCTCCATTTTAACTTAGTGCAATTTTACTTCTGCATTGGAAACGTTGTTTAACAACAATGATAAATTCATAGCTCTAAATTTAATCATTATTAGCCTCATCTCCATAATTTTATCCCAATGTGTTATTGTTATAGGTTATAATAGCCTTAATAAAATATTAAGGCTATTATAATCTGTTATAATATATCATATTATAAAAAAATATTCCTAATAAAGAGTGAAGATTTGAATGTAAATCCAGGTAAATATCTGTTTTATAGGGCACTACGATTTTACTACAATGCTGGTTATTATCTGCAAAGAATTTTAATTCATTTTTATTGATATTTAAAAATACTTAATCTCTACATGAATCAGGATGGAAAGTAAGAAGCCATACAGAATGCTCTTCCCCAAAGTAGACATTTTCTATTCAGTGCTTGTCAACTTCCCAGAATGCTTAGCGATGGCTACTTTGGTAATGAAATTGAAGCCGAGACAGGTGATTTCCCAAGATTTCCCAGCTAGTAAGGGCAGAATATTTTTTATTCAGTCTCGGGCATTTGTGGGTAGGGCTGGAAAAGTTTCCTTTGAAAGCCTTGGGACCAATACAGGATCTACCAGAATTCCAGCCAAACGTAAAGAGGGCAGGGCTCTTATATCTACAAACTGTTCTCAATAAAATTATATTTTCTATAAACCTAATAAAAGACATAAGAGTTTTGACTACTTTGCATCTTTTCACCGGAAACCTCTACTTTAACCACATCTTACCCAAGCAATTTACTTTACAACAGGGGTCCCCAGCCCCCTGGTCCGTGGATCGACACCGGTCCACAGTACACCAGAAACTGGGCTGCACAAACAAGTGAAACTCCACTTGAAGGGTGTAGGAAGAATGCAAAACCACACTGCCTCCAGTCCATGGGAAAAACTTTTCTCCATGGAACTGGACCCTGATGCCCAAAAGGTTTGGGGCCACTGCTTTACAGGACTGAGTATTGCAATTAGATAAAGCATTTCAGATAAAAAGATATCCTATATGAGTACCATATATGCATGTCTATAAAATTGAAGGGTCTGCTGGTATTTTGATTGCACTCAGAGCAAAAGAACGAAGGTATCAGTGCATGATATGATGGCATATATGTGGGTGTATGTGTATGCATGTGTGTATATCTATTAGTCATCCCGTCACTAGGAGTGGCTGGCCAAAAATCACCTTGTTGGCTTCCATTGTTATGGAAGAAGTCTAGAACCTATGTCTCCACTTCTAATACAGCACCTTAATTATTGTACCACATTGCCTTTCATATATTCATATCAGTGGAGATCTTAATACTGATTCCTAGTTTTCACACAAGGAAAACTAAACCCTAATCCTATTCAGTGGCCTGTCATACTGAAATAGGACCTTAAGGAGGCATCCATAATGAGACTAGAAAGGCTTTAAATTAATCTGGGAATATGTACTGTAGTCCTGCATAACATCCTGGGATAATAAGAGTATGAAAGTTAAACAAGGAAAAATGCAGCAAAAATGCACTTTTGAGGAATAAACCTGCAGTGACAAAACCACTATGTAATCTCTTGTGTTTGAAGCTATTAAAAGTACATCCTGTATTTTAAATAAAGTATTACTTCATTTTGCCATTTAAGTATCCATAAGTCATTCTCTCAAATATAGTAGCTCAAATACCTTTATAAGCACAGTAAAAGGGCTGGGCATGCTTTGAAAATAATTTAGAAGTACTTCAGACCTCATATAAGCACAGCATCTCTCAATTAAATTAGCCTGACTTTTTTCAATTTGACTTTGTTCCTAGTGGACAATCACTTAAATATGAGCCAGCAGTGTACAGCAAAAAAAAAAAAAAAAAAAAAAAGCCAATGCAATCCTAGGTTGCATTAACAGAGGGATAGAATCAAGATAATGTGAAGTATTAATACCACTTTATAAAGTCTTAATAAGACCACACTTAGAATACTGCAACCAGTTTAGTTCACCATATTATAAAAAAGATGTGGAGACCCCTGGAAAGAATGTAGAAAAGAGCAACAAAGATGATTAGGAGGATGCAGGTTAAAACATATGAAAAATGGTTGTGGGAATTGCGTATATCTAGTCTAATGAAAAGAAGGACCAGGAGTGACATGATAGCAGTGTTCCAGTATTTGAGGGGCTGCCACAGAGAAGAGGGGGTAAACAACTTAGAACTAAGGAGAAATTTTCTAACAGTGAGAACAATTAACCAATGAAATGGCTTGCTTTCAGAAGTTGTGGGTGCTCCCTCACCAGAGACTTTTGAAACTGGATAGCCACTTGTCTGGAATGGTATTTTTATTTATTTATTTTTGTCAATTGCTTACAAGATAATAGGTATAAGTAAAAACATAGTTATGAATACATGGATACATATAAGAAAAATAAAAGAAGCAATAGGACAGGGACGGTAGGCACGTTGGTGTGCTTATGCATGCCCCCTACAGACCTCTTAGGAAAGGGGTGAGGTCAATAGTAGACAGTCTAAGGTTAAAGTTTTTGGGGTTTGGGGAAGAAACCACAGAGTCAGGTAGAGTATTCCAGACATTGACCACTCTGTTGCTGAAGTCATATTTCCTGCAGTCAAGTTTGGTGCAATTAACCTTGAGTTTGTATCTATTATTTGCTCTCGTGTTGTTATGGTTGAAGCTGAAGTATTCATTGACAGGTAGGACATTGCAATGTATGATTTTATATACTATACTTAGATCGGACCGAAGGCGGAGTACTTCTAGGTTTTCTAGGTCTAGAATTTCGAGTCTGGTGGCATAAGATATTCTGCAACGAGTACAGGAGTGGAAAACTCTTCTTGTGAAATATTTCTGGACTTTCTCAACTGTGTTAATATCAGATATGTAATGTGGGTCCCAGACTGATGAGCTGTATTCGAGTATTGGTCTAGCAAATGTTTGTATGCTCTAGTTATTAGTGTAATATTACCAGAGAAAAAGCTACGTAAGATTAGGTTAACAACTCTTAATGCCTTTTTGGCTATGTAGATACCGTGGGCTCTAGTACTTAGATCATTTGAGATGAGTACTCCAAGATCCTTGACAGAGTTTGGATCATCAACAAGGTCTTGACTATTCAGCCTGTATTTCATTTTCTGGTTTTTTTTTTTTTGCCAATATGTAAGACAGAGCATTTATTTGTTGAGATTTGAAGTTGCCATTTGCTTGACCATTCTGATACATAGTCAAGGTCTTTTTGAAGGGTAGCAGTATTGTCAGTAGTGTTGAATAGCTTTACATCTTCAGTGAAGAGAACGCAGTTGCTCTTGATATGATCACAGAGGTCATTTATGCAGAGTATGAAAAGAGTTGGTCCTAAAACACTGCCTTGGGGGACACCACTGTTGATAGGTACAGAATTTGATAGGACACTCCCAATTTTGACCATTTGTTGTCTGTTTGACAGGAATGCTTCTATTCAGTTATGCAGGTGTCCAGAGATACCATAAGATTTTAGTTTTAGGAGTTGTTTGTTGTATACCACTGAATCAAAGGCTTTACAGAAGTCTATGTAGATTGCCTCTGTTGCTTTGCCCTGATCGAGTTGTGTAGTCCAGGGGTCCCCAACCACCGGGCCCTGGACCGGTACCGGTCCGTGGATCACTTTGTACCAGGCCGCAAAGAAATAAAAATAAAAAATAAAATAAAAATGGCAGCTTTCTTCACCTTTGGTGAAAACTGCTGGGATCAGGGATCAAGAACACAAAGGAAAGAAGGGGAGGGAGGAAGCAACCAAAGCCTGTCCTGCTTTCTGGCTCAGCGGCTTCGGTTTCCTCCCTCGTTCCTCTCTCAGTCGCTCTCTCGCTCCTCCACCAGCCCAGGAAGAAACTGCTTCTAAGAAGCCGGCAGGGTGGCTTCATTAAGGATTTTGAAAAAAAAATCATTTTATGTCAAAGATTTGGATGGGGGCAGAGATAATGAAGTTTCTAGCACCATTCCAGAAGAAATTAAACTTTAGTGCTTGCTATCTTTGAAATATAGGATTGACCCAAAGCAGGTATACTACAAGGGAGTGCTTGATTATTTTTTAAAGATAAATACGGTGTGAAAATACTTCTAGCAGACCAGGAACTGTCTTGATATTCAGGGGAAAAGATGACGGAAAACAACACATTCAAAAATTAAAATTGCTCTTTATTTGTCATGCAGACTTGCATAGAATTAAGCATTACAATGCATAAAATAGCAGCAGCAGAAACAATCACCTTTTCCAATATTGCTTTCACATTAAAGAAAGGAAGAAAAGGGGTGACAAAGAGAGAAGGAATGAGAACGAGGACTATAATTGTGTGCGGAAACCTAACATTGCCAGGGAAACAGATCATTTGTGTCTCAAAGCTAATTTACGGCAGAAGGGCGAGTGGTTAAAATAGTTTGTAGCTTTATACTGACTCCATCTGAGAACCCAAAGAATATGCTCAAAAAAGAGAAAAAAAATCAGAAATGTTGTTTGGAATGATACAACTCCATGAAGTTTGCCAGTCTAGAAACCCTCGTTGTATCTTTTTTATATATATCAGAGCTAACACATTGTATCAAAGAAACCAAGAAGGTGTTTACAATTACTGGTTTTCTGCATGACCCTCCTCTAAAATACATTTATTTTGCATGTGTTCAGAAGTACAATAACTGGCAAAACTTGAGTGTCTCTTGCACAAAATAAAAGATATTGTGAATAATAAGGCTAGGTTGCAGGAACTGGTTTTGTTAGAGAAATGTTTAGCGCAAGATTGACACCCTTTAGATTTCTGATGTTCATTGAATGGCTGATGCTGCAATTGCAGAAGTATTGTTCAAATGGTATACTGCAGAATTTTTTTTTTTTTTGCATGTATGACTCACAACCCTCTCACTGATCTACATAGAGACCCTCTTGATCTGAGATCCTTCTTTAAACGGTTACACAAATGGTTCACTTAATATGGTTGCATTTCCTTCTGTAAACCAACTTCCTGCTAAAGCTGTGCTATAGGTGGAGAAACTCTGTTTCAGGCATGACAGATCAAGTTCCAAGAGAGGAATAGATCGAGTGTGTTGGATGCAGATATCCAGATTAATGTTAGAGCTAGACCTTGATGGAAAAGGTGAAAGTGTCAGAGAGGAAAAGCGCTTGATTTTGGTTTTTGTTTTCCCTTGGCGTTATTTACACAACAGGCATGATGAGCATGGTTATGCGAATTGTCATTCAGGAGGAAGAGCAGGGCCCGACTTTAATAGGCAGTTTTCCTGCTTGTACTGGTTTTTGATACAATTTTTACACTGGAACCTCCTCCTCCACCTGAGGAATGGCGACCTCCTCCACTACTGAAAGAGCTCCCACCTCCACTGCTAAACCCTGAACCAAAACCAGCTCCTCCATAGTTGCTGCCAGAGCTAATGCCATAGCCGCCGCCACCACCGCCACCAATTCCAACTCCATATCCTCCTCCGAGTCCTGCAGCACTTCCTCCGCCGAAACCTCCTCCCACGGCCAGGCCAGTTCCACCACCATATCCACTGGTGGTAGTGCTGCTGACTACAGCTGGAAAACAGGAGAGGGGGGGAAAAAAGAAAATTAAGTTGCTTCTGTGACTTCTATAGAGAAAACGCATAATCAAGGCCCCTTTTAAAACAAAGCATGCACACCCAAGCATAAACAGAGACGATACTTACAATAGCTGACATTTCCAATGCCTTCTTGCAGCCTAAAAAGCAATGTAATAATTGGAGTTAGCGCTACAACTTACAATAAAATTACCACATTTTAATATAAAAGGGAATATTGTGATGACAGCAATATGAACTCAGCCTGTGTCTACAGGGTTAAGGGCAAGTGATGAAACATGCATCATAACATCACAGCACAAGTGTCACGACTGACAGACTGCCGTCACAGATTGGGGCACATAATTTCAGAGCGGCTAGTTACGGATGACATGAAACTTTAAATGCATTTCCCAAAGGTGCTTTTTTTTTTTTTTTTTTTCCAAAAGGCAACTGCACTTTCTTGGTTTTTCTCTTTGAAAACATTTTGATTCCCATCCAAGGAGTGATGGGATGAGAAGCAAAGTATTTTCAAAGAGAAAAACCAGGAAAGTCCAGCTGACTTTTGGAAAAAGCACCGTTGAGACAACTATGACTTGGATGATTGAGAATCTCCATAGACTCTTAATGCATCTATTTCCCATCTTATCTCTCCAACCTGAAAAGAATGGGCCCCCAAATCTCATCAGATTTGTGCTCTGTGGGCCTTGCAAATAAATAAATAAATAAAAAACCACAGCAAGGTGCCTCCCTTTTGGAGAAAAAAAAATGCTCTTAATGTTACAGAAACATGCAGTTCCATCATTCTTCTATCTGTGAAACGAATGTAGAAAAACAGCATTCTGGTCAGATCGGTTTACCTTTCTCCTTCACAAACAAGATTTTTTTTTTAAGAAAAAAAAAGAGGTTTTTTTTTTTTTTAAAGGTCACCAGGTACTTCTAAAAAGGGTTTTTTTCAATTTAACTGTTTCATTTCAAGGTACAAGCTGTTCAGATGAAACATCCAAGGGAGTGCTCTTTTTTATTTGAAGAAAGTCAAAAGGAAGGTGAATGAAAAAACGGTAGATAAGCTAGGGGCCTAGCAATTGGTTAAAAGCATGATATTTAGTGCCATGATTCTCTCAACTGACCTGCATTCTTCTCCTTCTAGCAGCTTCCTGTAGGTGGCAATCTCGATGTCAAGGGCCAGTTTGACATTCATGAGCTCCTGATATTCCTTGAGTTGCCGGGCCAGTTCTTGTTTGGATCTCTGTAAAGCTTCCTCCAATTCACCCAGCTTTTGCTTAGCATCCTTGAGGGCCATTTCACCACGACCTTCAGCCTCAGCAATGGCTGCCTGAAGGTTGGCAATCTGGGAACGGGTATAACAATTATTATTGTTATCATTGGAGGCCATTTACGTGAAAACTGTTATAACGGGTTCTCTTTGGATAATTCAGGAAGAATATCTCTTCCATCCTGTAATCCCAGAAAACTTGAAAATCTCTTCTTAAAAACAAAACATACTTCTGTGCAACAGAAAGAATGGCATACTACCAATATTAGAATATAAAACACATAGGTGCTGAGTACACATCTGCATCTAAAGCAAATGCTTGTGGTTCAATGCACCAAAATTGTAATAATATTTCTTTAAATGGGACTAAGTGTCTCCATTAGCTCAGATTTTCTCCAACACTGGAAACAAGGTGTATATATAAGGTGATTGTTCATTTTTGACTCAGTGTGTTGTGTAACCCGAACCATTTTATTTCTAAGTTTATGCCTTAGCATAATGTGGAAATTCAGCCAATTATGGCTTAAAACCATAGTTAAACAATAATAGCAAAGAAGAATATGCAAACTCAGCTATTGCGAAAGCGGATCCGTCCCATGCAATACCATAGAATTGGGCAGAATTCTATAAAACTTCACTTGCAACTTGCTCTCAACAACTGAACGATAATTTATATATTTATATACAAAGCTTCTGTTATTCATCACACCCTGAGCAAATAATGCCTCTAGATAGACATAAATGGAACAATTCCAAAAGAAGCTCTTGAAACTGCTGATCTATCATTGGTTTTCTTTAGACGGATGATAAAAGAACATAAATATTTTAATAATATGGAAAAACTGGCTCACTGTAGTTGCCTGGCTACCTTCCTTTAGAACACATTAGGGTGCGGAATAATGTATACAATAACCTGCCTGTCTGCCTGCTCGTCTCTGCTGTAGTAAGATAAAGGAGGGGATTCCTGGTTTAATTTGCAATGCCTAAGAGCTATTGCAAAGCAACTAACTGCAACTTGTTCCGCTTGATTATGTAAATACCTTGCAACATTTGTACAATGAGAGATGTACTATCTGTGGGTTCATTAGCAAAATCCCACAGAGTAGAAGAACTAAAATGTGGTTATGATTAGAATAATGTAATGTTTAAAAAGAAGAAATTTTGAGTGTGTTAGTCTTTGGTGCCCCAAAGGTGCTTTTTCAAAAGACAACTGGACTTGTTTTTTTTTCCTCCTTAAAAACGTTTTGCCTATCATTTAAGAAGCTTCTTCAGTTCTTCAGTTCATGAAGAATCTTCTTGGTTGAGAAGTGAAATGTTTTCAAAGAAAAAAAATAAGTTCGGTTGCCTTTTGAAAAAGCGCCTTTGGGACAACTATGGCCCGGATGACTGGGAATCTCCATAGCCATGGTCTTTGGTGTGTATAATGGCACCCCACATGTTTCCCACTTATTTCTTGTACTGCATGATGTTTAACCACAGACCATAATTTTTCTTTATTTATGTCATCTGAATGCTGAATGCCCATCATTTTTGGATGGAAGTAACTGGCAGTTAATGCTAACCAGAAATGGCAACTGCTTGAACTTCAGATAACACATTTCACTGTTGTCTTAATAATTATTTCCTTTTTCAGTGTTTTCCTTCCCTCCCATCTCCCTTACTTTGTACTTGATCTTCCTTCCTTCCTTCCTTCCTTCCT